CCAGCGGGCTTTATTTTTGAACTAGCTGGACTTCATGTCCTTTTCCTAGTTTTCCTCGGTTTCTACAACTGCTACGACCTTTTTTGTAATGAGCATGCCTCATTGGTTCTACCTTCCTCCCCTTTGTGTAGTTGTCTGCTGCGTTCAGGCTGGAACGACCCCATCGGGCCGCAATCAGCATGCTCACTTCAGGTTTGGGAAATGGGACGCTTGTTATTATTTCATCAGACATTGCCCACTGTTTATGACATCGTCCTCTTTTTCACGCATTGTCCAGTAGCCGCAAGCCCCCCAGTCATGCCTTATTCTGACGGTAAACGTATCATCACGCCTGAATTTATGCCACCCGTAAGCTAGGAATATACGCTATTATTATTATTGGTGACTCGGTATATCGGTGATTATCAAATATTGCCCTGCGCCAGATATAATGTGTGCTGACCATCATAAAAATCAAAAACATACTTGCTGTGATCGTTTCATGGGCTTCGGCGGGTTGCTTGCAACAACGACAGAAGTTTTCATATTCAGGTCGCGAATGGCCACTGCATCTTGAGTTTACGCTGACGTGAAGCGCGTGATCGTTGTCTGTGACGCTTTTATTTCCAAACCCAAAACAAAGGAGAACGCGAAAAACAGCTTTTTCACATAATTTCCCATCGTTTTGACAGAGACAAAGCGCGAAGCCACTGGCAGCCATTAAAATGCGAATTGCGCGCCCACAGTGGGCTCCGAGAGAAATAACCACTGCAAAACCAGACGGTCCTGCGCACTTGATGTAATAATTTAGGCCGACAATTGAAAATTCAGAATTGCATACCAAAGCTTGTCGAATTGGAGAATAGAAAATTCAAGCCTAAAAATGAGAAAATCCACCAACTAGGGTGCCTGAAGTGTTTTCTGCCCAGGATTACTTAGGTGGGCGAAGTGGAAATAGCGCGTAAGAGAACACAGCTATTATCAGAGTATCAAGTGAATTTTTAGGCAGAGCGAGCCCAATGTGCATTGGGATAGCCAGTGACGTAGAGTCAACGTATTTAGCGGACAGATATGTAGGAATAGCATGAGTTTTGGGGTTATTGTTATGTCCAAGGGTAAGGCACTCAAACCGAAAGTCCAGATGGACAGCTGATGGAGCAAGAGAGTGACCGCTACATAAGACGGCTGTCAGGAGGCTAGTGAAATACAGATAAACTATCATGTTAGGCGTAGCAACCGTGGTAGTTTTACTGCAATTTCTACGTCACCTCGTGGAAAGTTCTGAACATTTGTATCCTTGATGGGGCAAACGGAGTTATCGAACATCTTTTCAATCCTTGGAAACAAGAAACCTATAGATGTGTAGCATTCTGGTTCCATTGAAGCTACCGCCATCCAAAAAAGGTTGTGATGAGGCCACAGCTAGATAATGAATCGAAGAAGGAGGATGTAGAACTTTTGTGCATGTGCTATGAACAGCCGTCAACGAGGAAGGGTTCAAATTACCATCCGCTCTAAAAAGGTATTGGAACCATATTGGCGTTGCTGGGCTAGGGGCCTTGACACAATGCGGAAAACAGCTAAAAAGGACGGTGACAAAGGACGCCGAACGACTTAAGAAAAAGATCGTGCGCCGCCCTCCTCCGGCTGTGCAGCCATCCATTTTGTTGGGTAGGGAAAACTACGAACTGTGAGCCTTCTTGGTCCAATCCTCCGAATCGTGCGCACGCGCTTTTGTAACCAGTTCATGAAATCGCGAATCGCCTATTAGGTGTTTGGATAAGGAAGGTTTGTCACAGAGGCAGTGCCAGTGTACTAGATATATAAGCTGTCACAGATGGTTACGAAAATCGTTTGTTGTTATTCACTTGGAAATTTGCGGCTGTACAAAAGCTCAAGCTTCCTTTCCAGGTAAACAGCAGTACAATAACTAAGAAAAGGTGGAAATCTGTTAGTGCTTGATGAGCAAAAGACAATGAGGACTCTATTCTTAACTGTCGCTTGGGTTAGAGAAGTTGAGGTTTGGGACAAACATTTACTGACAAGAGGTCCAGTGGTTCAAGCCCGGCCTCTACATCTCGACCTCTGCTGTCTATACTTGGTCAACAAGGCGGCATCCCAGCTCTCGTGCTTCCTTCAGGTGGATGTTAGCAAGGCACCGTAAAGGGCACTTCACTGAACGATAGTTTGGAGAACTCGATAATCTGAGGCTTAAGGAGGCAACCGGTTTGGGTGAGCGTCAATCGTATGGTTGTGTTTTCACCTTAGGTTTGATACAAGGAGCGTTATAGATACGGCACAGGAATAAACTAAGGGAATGTTAAGAGCGTTGTCCCTATTCCGCCCCTGGTATCTTCCATGCATTAGCGGTGGCTTTTTAATTCTGCTGATCGGCGGCTGGTGTGCAACCATGGCTTGTTTAATCGATTAAATGCAAGCTGAACTTCTTAGGTAGGAGGGGTTGGCGGCTATTAATGTCAGTTTGCAGGAAAGGTAAAAAATAATCCAACACCTGACAAAATACAACAATGGTTTTAACAATTGAGGTGGAGTTTTGGTTTTCCCCACATGCTCTTTAACATGCTTATTAGGCGATCAGATCCGCTACATGCTCCCCTCTCCATCTGCCTTTTTGTGAATTTGTGCCTCTGAAACTGGCACCATCTTAGGACATTCCTCGTCATGCCTATGTTTAAACCAACCGTTCCCATTTGTAGAACTACCTACGTAGGGAAATATTTTCCAACTACTGCAACATCTCCTGGTTGCTCAGAGTGCTTCTGAACTTGACGAAATTCTTGTCTCCAATGAACAAAGAGGTTGCCTGACCCCTCTGATTTTGCGATGGGTTGTGTCCAGAATATATATGCCCCCTCTTAGAAAAACCTGAGAAACCAGTATATACAACTGGGTTTCACCACCTGCTACCTATTTTAGTGACTGGCAGATACCTGGTACTCGCGCTCTGTCTGTAGGTGTTAGGCCAAATAGAATGCGAACAATTATCTCAAGGATATTTTTGCTTTTGATTGGGGTGTGTACCCCACCCTTGGCAGCCAGACGGACGGCTCAAGCAAAATGAAAATCTGTGCCATGCAATTTGTTTACCAACCGCAGAGAAAATTCCTCATAGACATTGGCGGGTGTTTTCAAGCTCATAGTCAGACTGCCCATTTGAAGTGGCTGAATTAAATCAGTAAATGGTAGCTTTTCTCTGATGGTGAACCGAGAGGGGATGTTTCCTGATGGCCAGGCTTTCCCTAATTGGTGGATTTTTGAGACTATCATGGGCAAAAGAACAGCCGTTTTGCCTGAGAGTTTATACCCAACTGGCCTACCTGGCACCGACTTGAGTCAAGATTCCCCTTGTTCGGTTCTGTTGGAAGCATGACGACATGTGGAGGGTGTTGTCAATGAATTTCCGCTCCGGATGTGCTGTGCAAGATCGGTGGCCATAGATGGTACTGGATCACGAGCCGCACCATCGTGTGCTGTGCAAGATCGGTGGCCACAGATGGTACTGGATCACGAGCCGCACCATCAAAAGCAAATGCAGACCAACCTTGACCACATGCAACCCAGTATGCGTCCGTTCGACCTTGCTGTACGTTGGTTGGTGGTTATGACTAACACTTAAGTTAAATTGGTTGGGTAGATTTTCTTCATGTTGACTTTCGATTTTGCGGCCTCATTTTTCCTGTCAAGGACACCCTAGAGGAACATTCCAGATTTTATTCGTCTGTGTGCATCGAGGAGCGTAAGAACAGCGGAGTTGGGGTCGGGAAAAGATGTTGAACGAATCCTACCACTTTTGGATTTTGTACTTCTAGACCCATACCACTGTGCGACGACTACGCACCCCCTCATGAAATCTCGCCTGATTTAAAACAACAATTCACATGGTTGTCGCTTGTACGCCCTCTATTCTATTTGCGCTGGAATGCTGGGTGCTTGCCACCTCCTCGGCCGCCATTCATCATGGCGTGAATCTTAGTTCACGGAATGTTCACATTTTCCAAACTTGTCCCCTCAGGGGCATTCTTTGTTGTTGTGGAACAGTTGAATATCGTCTGATATTCATCTACGTTTCTTAGTGGCCTGTTAATGCATTGCATATATTCACCGATTCTGGTGTGCAATTCCACAGCTGCCTGGCCTATACAAATCTTTGTGGAGCCGTTACATTCGATTTTTCATGCACTATTTCTGATCCTACTGCACGGAAGGTGATTATCCATCTTCATTTCCCGGGAGTCTACTCTGGTATTGGCCGCGTTCAGTACCCTTCCAATGACTTCAGATGTTCCTCTTTTGTATGGAAAGACTGCTTTTCTTACACACTGCCTGTTGGATCTTTGTGGTTGCACCAATACTCATCTTAGTCGCCAATTTTTAAACCCACTGAATCCGCTGTCTAAAAGTTACTTTCTTACCGTAATTTGTGCTACTCGTCGATCAAATTCCTCTATGCACATTGTGGAAGATTTTGGGAACTATACTAGAATATACTGCCTTTTGGAATACCGAGCTTTAGTTTAGGGACAGTGCCATATCTGCTGATTTCCGTTAAAAATCGTTTTTAACTTTCCGCTTCTCTTGTGTGTAACGCAGTCAAGGAAATACAGCGTTCCGTGTGTGCACTCCAGCACTATATAGAACTTAATCTGACGGTTCAAAGTGTCAAAGATATTGAAGTAATTCGTGAACCTTCCGCAAAATACCTGTAGTCTAATTAACACCGAAAACCCTCGGTAGACATCCAAATCCGTCTAAAGCTTGCTGTTCAAGTTCTTCCATATACAAATTGCGCGAAATCGGGAACATTTGTGATCCCATCGCTAAACTTTGTCCTTGAGAATGCATAACAAAGTCAGAAACAAGGATAGTGATCATAAAAGACGCTATGCCGCCCACCAGTCATTCTTGTATTCATAATATATTCATATTTGTCATAATGTTTTTTCGCCGTTTTACGGATGATTTGGTGCACCGTCTCTTGCATCACTTACATGGATTTTTAAATGCCCCATGGGGCCTACGTCAGACCGCTCCTTGAATACCCCAACCAAGTTGTCTACTCAGGACGCACGAAATACGCCATCCCCGTTTCACGGATTCACGGATTGATACACAGGATCGAGGCTTTTGCCCAAGTTTCCCGGGTCGGTTTTGTTCTTGTCGGTCAGTGGCTGTCGTTCACCTGAAAGGCACAAGTGAAAAAAGGGTGTAGCACTGCTCTTTATGTTCTCAGCGCGGGGCAGTATGCTCGCCAGCGCGAGGATTCGCATAAATAAATGTCTAATAGTGCTTTAAATTGGGTTCGAGAAGGAGCATGTACAACCGTCGGAGGAAGGTCATTCCACGCAGCTACTACACGAAATG